CAAATTACCAACCTCAAATAGCCAGTATGGCTGCGCTTGTATTTCAGAGCAGTGGCAGGAGCATTCAGGAAAATGCATTCAATTTGAGTCTGCAGTTAAAGAGCACAGCACATATTCATGAATTTGTTTCTCTCTTTTAAATGTGGGTCAAAATTCTTCTTGAGTGACGGCTTGTGGTTTAACAAACTTTCTCAAAATGAGTAGCCAGTGTCTCAGCGTGTTTACACTGAGGTTCTGCAGCTCAGAGTCTAGTAAAGAGAGGATCTCCTGAGCCTTGTGTTTATTCTGTCTGTTTCCTGTGTGGCTGTTTGGGAGCCTGTGAGGGAAGACACACTGCAGTCGGAGGCCAATCAAACATAAACACAGAACAATGGATGATGGACGGAGGAGCTTGTTGTTCCAAATACATAGTTTTAGGGTATAAGTTGGTTCCATTTAAGGACAACTTAAAGGTGCCCAATGTCCAAGTTGTTGAAGCATTCAGCATACACACTTAGGACATATCATTATACCTCAGATTCCTCCCGAAGATTTTATCTAATGAGCTCTGCCCTTTCCGGGTGAATTATAGCCATTAAGAAACGTGGTATTATCCCCCTAACAGGCATATCTGGAGTGAAAGTGACTTTCATGACACAGCTCTTTAACTCTCTGGGGTAATTTCACTAAGTTGTATGTTTATCTTAACTAATAGGCCCCATGATGTTTGCCAACCAACCGCAGCTGAAACACATTTGACCAACAGGCTCATGAGTTCGACCTGCTGAATGCCAAGCGAGTCTATCAGACTTTGATCCGCCAGCTATCAGGGAAACCTTGCTGCACTATCAAAGCACCATCCCTCCTTAGAGGAGACTTGTCTTTCTTATCAAAACAAGGACCCGGCCTCTGCCTCGCACAGCTAGAACCCAGCTCCTGGGTGGTCCTTGGGCTTAGCTGCGTAATAACAGTGCCTAGATGTTCCAAGAAGACGGGGAATACAGCGAGAATGCTTCATTTCAGCCAGATAGGAATCGCCTCATAACCTTGATTAGACTGATAAGGCAAGCTGGTGTAAAGCTTGGTTTCACAAAATGGACTAAATGAAATGTTCGCAAGGCGGAGACATGTGAACCAAAAATGATTTTATGCATTATCAAGATTTAAGTGATTTCATATGTATATGTTTAATATCCCATGCATTTGTTCCATGCCCATATTTGAATGTGTGGAAGTCTGTGTGAGGCACATCCTTGAGAGGTAATGGGGAGGGGCACAGTTAGTGAGAATAGGAGGATGTGCAAAAACAGCATTGTGAGGTGCTATATGCTGTGTTCTCCTCTCTACTGTCCCATGTCCCCAACCCAGACCTGGACCCTGACCTGGACTCTTTGCAGGAGTGAGAGAAGGGGGTGTGGTCTGTTCTTGTCTATCCCGTTTCCTGCCTTCCACACCAGCTCTAATTAGAAATGTGGGTGGCCCTGTTTATTTACATGGTTGAAATGCGGCGAGGTTGTATTTATATTTTCATGGCGCGTTCTCAGCAGTGCTGCATTACATAGCCTTCCCCTGAGATCGCTGTGGGAGAGGGAGAGGAGTGTAGAGAAACCCAATGGTTGATGTGTGTGCAGGAGGGAAGACCAATGGAGGTTGTATGAGGTCTCATTTCCTTCATTGTGAATCTGCACTGAATGATCTTTAAGGTAAGACCTTCAAATAATCTATGTTTCCTTTGTGGCTTAATTAGGTCTGTCTGTAGACTTAATGCAAAAGAAAAATACTTAAATAGTGATTAGTCATAACATAAACAACATACACAAACAGGAAAAGAAATGATAGAAAACAATACGAAAAACATAAACAATATTTTAGATGCATTGAACAAATAATTAACTGTACTCTTAGCAAATCAGACGTCTCATTAAATTATAGGTTTACGCATTAGAGTGAAAGCAAGAATCTGGTCATCAACTAGGATTGAAGGATCAAAATGATTATGCTGTATGTAACGTTGAATGTGTAGTTTAAAATACGGGCATGCTCCTACAGGGTTGTGCAAAACACTAAGGATTTGGAAAAAAATACAAAGGGTAAGAATTTTGAAAAAGTCACAATTGCAAGTATGCTTTATATGTCAATGAAAACACTGTAGTTAAGTAAATTGAAGGAATTGTGTACATTTCTAATCCGATAATGTGAGTTAAAGCGGTTGAACAATTACTCTATACGGGCTTCAGTTTTGGAAACTACACACAGGCCCAAGCCCCTGGAACCCAGAGGTCTCTCAAGTCCCATATGTACATGGATAAAAATGATCCTCAGATGAGCCATGTCAAAGTGGTGGCAGTGTGTGTTTATCTTTCAGACCGGGGCTGCTGAGTGGCGGAAGGCAGAGCTTTCTAGTCAAACCGTGGCTGCAGAGAGCCTGGGCCTGACTCTGGATAAAGTAAACACATGAGCACACACACACACATACACACTCACATACACCCTCACATACACTCAAAGGGCTCTCCCGTCCTCCTCCCTGCCCGTCAGCTGCAGACCACACACCCAGACCACACAGAGTCTGAGAACAGTCCGAGTCACTCTCACGCAACACGGCCCACGAGCTGTCACTCTGACCACCTCTGTCTCTCTGTGTGCCACTTGATGCTCAAAGCAAAGTATTGGTGTTTAGAAAGACCAAAAGTCAAAGATGTGGAATCACATGCTTTTTTTAAAATATGAAATTAGAACAAGAGAGTAGGATTGGGTAATGTGAATACAAATCAATTGAGGGAATTCATTATACAATACGTTTGTGCCCTCCTGCATGTGTGAATGTGTATGTTGGGGCAGCGGTGTTACAGAGAGATATGTCCCTGGGCCATTAAGAGCGATCAAAGCGTTTGTGAATGCACTGATTACTGCAATCCAACCTAAATGTGTAAACATCATGTTTTTCTTTCTTTCTTTTCTCACTTTGCATACAGAATTCATGCTGCATTTCCACAAAACTATACCCACCAACCAGGGATACATCACTCCCTGCTGGTCATTTCATTTATTGCGTGCAGTCTGCATTGCGCTAAAAAGAATGCTGCACTTTCTTCTTTGTCTGATGACATTAAGCGTGCCAGGTAGACACCATATTGTTCTGCTTATCAAGCCTTATCTGTTTACATTCATGTCCAGAGTCATCTGATTGTTTCCCAGTACTTTGTTGCTCCTTATCCGACAGCTGTTATTGCTTTCCTGCCATCGTAATGTATTGGGTCAAGTGCATTGTTATCTGAAGAGTCTCAGATAAACACAGACATTTAAAAACAATTCAAGCTGATTTATTGATGCGATAAAGATTTCATTTACTGCTGATGGGAAGCACTTCTCCTGCCTCATATGTCATATGGCCAGATATAATTATAATTAGTAATAATATGATAAAAAGATGGAGATTAATAATAAGTGTATTTACTCAGACACACCCATGTCAGTTTTTTTGTCTTTTGTTTAAAGTCCTAATAGTACAATCTGTCAACAACTTATCTTGGCAATTGTTCCCATCAGCCATGCCTATTGCTTTATAAGTAGACAGCCTCAGCAGTGGGCCTGTAAGTGATGATTGGTAGATTTGCAGGGTCAAAATTCGTTTAAAAAAAAAGGAATATAGGGTCAACGCCCTTCTTACCACAAGGTCAACAAGCAGCATCAGCCAGAGTTAACTAGGGTTAAACAGGACTGTCATCAAATCCTGGGCAGAGGTCTGACCCTAAACAAACTGGGGTCATGGACTCTAAGTCTAGAATTACCACAGGTATGTTCTCAGGGATAAGATTTAAAAAAGTTAAGGAGTGTAACCAGCAGGGGGAGCAGGTTTTAAATATGTTTGTTTTCAGTTTCCCATGGACACTATTTTATATCTAACATTATATAATGACAGATACAAATGAGTATATAGTATTGCATGACCACTGTAATACTATGACCACTCATAGAACTGTATGTACAACACCTTCACAGTATTGTATTACCTGCAGCTTGGGGATAGAGTACACTTCAACATGACTTCAACTTTAACTGAGGATTTAGCAAGATATATCAGAGTGGTTCCAACTTGTAATCCTTTAAAACAACAGAGAGTCAAATCAGACTCCTCATCAAAGGTTAAATAATGCTTAGAAGACTGAAGATGTATCACACATTTTCTAAGATACTCTACAATCAGTCCTAAATTGTCTCATCTAGCCATAACTCTGATTCTGAGCTATTTGTTGATCTGTTCTACACTTACCAGCAGATGTCAGCAAAAGATTGCTCCAGTTTTATTGTGATACACCCCCATTTCTTTATTGCCTCGGAGCATTGATGTCAGATGAAATAAACATACAATAAATGCACAAACCTACTAAATGCTTCCTGAATATGTAGCTCACAATCACAACAACAGAATCATACTAATGTATTAGTATCAACAACTAATACCGTGATCCATGATAATGCCGCTATATCGTATTATTAGCAGTGAAACTCCCAAAACATATGATCCATGGATAGGAAAAGTAGCAATAACAGAATAAAAAACATTTACACATCAAATAAACAACACTGGTTTTTGTGAAGATATATATTTTGGCGCTTTTTTTAAGGTGGAAAAAATAAGCATAAAGATCAACATCATTTTGTATGATGAGCAGTTGTCTAAACAGATTAAGCAGCTGTCTAGTTAAATAGTGACTGAGTGAAAATGTTGCATTCATGGTAGTTTCATTTCTCAGTAATAACCTTTTTTTTGTGAACTTTGGGGCATCAGTTGACTAAGATGTCTGCTGTCCGATGTCGCTTGGAGTAACGGCTCATTCGGGCGGAAAAACTGAAGCCTGACTACAAATGATGTGGCTTCCTGCAGAGGGGGAAACACCATGGTAAAAGTGTGAATGTGCTTTTTTTGTTTTTGTCTTTTTTCTCTCATCCTCCACCCCTTTGTTTGGAAATCAGAAGAGATTTTAAAGATAATACATCAAAGAAGACATGAGTAGTAGACAATTCATCATTTTATTTCAAAATATACCTATACTCTTTTTTCATTGTGATTTTTCAGATACTTTGTACAAAAAGCTCTAACCATTTCTTTCTGTATGCACTTTCCGTGTGATTTCCTGTGTAGCTTGTCCTGAATGTTTTACTTTAACTGTTAAGTGTGACGTGTAATGGGTGTGCATGACCGTGTTAGTCACTGATGTTGTAGGTGGGGGAGTCATATGTTTTTATCCTGAGTCCATAAATGTCAATTCCTGATAACAGTAATAGTGCAACTGTGTGACACACACATGAGCCCACCTACACACATGCACACACATTGCCCTTTACTACACACACACCTGAACACACACTGTTTATCACAACATTACACTGGACATGGAGCTGGTAACAATTTTACTATTACGATTTTATTTTAGATTGGTTAAGTAATAGTTAACAACATGTCAACCAGGACAGAATCTAACTGACTGTGATGTTTGAGGGGGAACGTGATTTATGGTTTAGGCAAACACTCACAAAAGGAAAAACATTCCCGCCTGTGATTTTGGTCAGACTTTTGCCATTGTGAAAGTGATGTGGTTTAAGTGTGAAGGAAGTATATGTAGAGATCGAAACTCTGGCCCACAGAAGAAAAACATTACAAAACATTATCCTATACTGCAACATCAGCCTTCAGGACTTAAAACACTAAAGGGAATTGCATTATTCTCACTATTGGATGTTTATGTCCTTGTCCTATGATAAATACACAATCGTCCATAGGTTGTTAGGATCTGAAAATAGCTTTTGTTTGGACCAGTTACCTCCAGTGTGAGAAGTCCTACAGTATCCGCAGGCATGGGAACCAGAGAGCTCTTCTCTGGCTGAACTTGCACAGACACCACAAAGGTAGTTTTTCTTCCCATTTGTGAGGCCTTAAGTTTCAGGTCAAGAGGAACAGGTACAGTTTCTTGCAAGTTACAGGATGAGTGTGATGTTTCCAGTGAATCACCTTCAGTCCAGTCAGGTCAAGGCCACCCTCTCTCTCTGAGGAGAAGGACCTTGAGGCCCAAGCGGTTCTCTGGTTGTGTTCGGTAAGCCAGTGGTCACTTAACCTTTATTTTTGTAGCTTTTGAGAGGTTGTGTAAGAGGTTTAGTCAACATGTGGTTTTCAAAGAAGATTGTTTCAGACACCTTTTTTGCAGTATTTCACAAGATAAAGCACGAAAAAAAATCAATGAATAGAGAAAAATGAATAGCCATGATTGTATGCAGAAAAATAGAAATATAAAAATATAAGTTTTCTGGGGACTTATGAGATCACCTTGTGACCCGTTGTAGATGTTCAGTTTGGTTTAATTTAACAAAATCAGATGTCTTTAAAAAGTGACCCAGATTCAGCAGAAGTTGTAGCTTCACTAGTAACTTCCTCTACTACACCACCAGACCAGCGATAACATCATTTTTTTAATCAAACTTCTTATTTTCTTTACAATGAACCAAGACTCCAGGTTAACCAAGGACCAAGCAATTATATTGTTGACTTTTCACTTTGCTCACTCAAGTAAATCACACAGCAAGCACTGTATGTGAAAAGTTTTGAATCAGAGAAAGAGCTGTGTCGACTAAGTTTAAAAGGCAGAGTTTGTGATTGTGCCACTTAAGTGTGTGAGTGCAACAAACACATTGTCAAACCTGTGAAGATGCAATAAATATTCATTCATGCTCTGCTGTGTCCCTTTGACATATCAGTGTTTGTCTTAGGGGCCATTCTTCCTGTGCACCTGTGCTAGTACTTCCTGTCTCAGTCGCCCTTCGCTCCCCTCATCCCCCCAACCCTCAAACCGCATCCTTCTCACTGTCACAATAATAATTGTAGAATGAAAAAAAAGCCAGTACTACACAGTCACAGACATAAAGGCTACAAAACTAGGTGTGCAAGTGAAAACAACAGGGTCTTCCCCATCTTTACCCCTCAGTACAATGCCAGCTTCGACTATCTACAGTACTCTGCAGTCGTAAGGTGTGATAAATGGTAAACTATACATTCACAGTTATGCCCTACTGTGTGTGTGTGTGTGTGTGTGTGTGTGTGTGTGTGTGTGTGTGTGTGTTTGTGTGTGTGTGTGTGTGTGTGTGTGTGTGTGTGTGTGTGTGTGTGTGTGTGTGTGTGTGTGTGTGTGTGTGTGTGTCTGATTGTTACTCCTGAATATGCTGTAGGGGTCTCTGGGAAGGATAGTCGACGGTTAGAGATGTATTCTGTTCCTGGATGTGATCAAAAGCCCGCAGGTAGTGGCCATTGTTCTGCTGGTAATAGTGCACCAGTTTTTTGGCAAACACTGGCTCCACCTAAAATAAAACAAGGTATGTGTATGATATGTGACTGTATTTAGCAACTGCCTCTTTAGTCGTATGGCAAAAAATAACTGAATTACTTACGTCATTTCATATTGATGTTATTTTCAATTAAAGATAACAGCAAGTGGAAACTGTTAAGGACATTTAGCTTTAGTTTCTGCTAAATAGCCATGCTATCTCACAGCTAGCACATTACTGCTTCATGTCAGGCTCACCCTCAGGTGTTCTTTTTACAATAATGACCGCCTCGCTGCACATTATCCCTATTTGGCCTTATTTTAAGTTCCGTAAACTTGGTAAGAGCACATTTAAAAAGGTGTTTTCACAAACATTACACAAGTTACTACGGAGCCCCTAAAGGGACATGGACAAAAAAAAAAAAAACAGAGAGAAAAAAAATAACGTCAGGAAAACGGATTTGTTTCTCGTGCGCACGAGAAACAAATCCGTTTTCCTGACTTTATTTTTTTTTTAGAAAGTTACCGATACACCAAGGAGGAAGTGGAACACGAGACAACCCATTTCATTGCAGACTGTTATGTTTACGTGGGGAAATGACAGTGCATACATTATTTGAGATATATTTTGAAGTCAGACTTAATTTTATGGACATTTCGGCCAGGGGTGTAGAGCTATTGGTTTAAGCACCGGATTGGCAAAACACTGGCGAGTCTGTAAACCAGTCTGCTTTGATCTATGAATGAATGTCCGTGACTCTCAGAGTACCTGCTGCCCGCAGCTGTTTTATAGGGAAACAAACAAACACACACACACACACACACACACACACACACACACACACACACACACACACACACACACACACACACACACACACACACACACACACACACACACACACACAGAGCCAGTGGCGGACTGGCCATCGGGACGTTCGGGACGAATCCCATTGGGCCGGTACCAAAGTGGGCCGCCCGTCACTAGCCGTCTAAGTACGATATATATCTCAAATAATGTATGCACTGTCATTTCCCCACGTAAACATAACAGTCTGCAATGAAATGGTTGTCTCCTGTGCGCTTCACTTCCTCCTTGGCGCACCGGTAACTTTCTCAACAAAAAAAAGTGAGCACGAGTTAGTAAAAAAAAGTCAGGATAACGAGTTAGTATCTCGTGAGATACTAACTCGTTATCCTGACTTTTTTTTTACTAACTCGTGCGCACTTCTTTTTACATGTCCCTTTAGGGGCTCCGTAAGTTACTAAACAAAAGGTCAAATTCAAATACACTTAAAATGTACTGGAATGTTGTGTTAGTAAGAGAATACTGAGGTCTGTTCCATAAAATAGCCTCACTAATGCAAACTACCTAAAACCAATTATGGAATAGCCATTATTAATAATAACAACACTAATTAAAAGCTACCATGCTTTAAATAAATGCTTTGAATTACAAGGTAAAGCTCTGTAGTTTATGGTTACCTGTGCTGTGATCATCTTCCTCTGGCGCTGTGGGTCGGGGTACTCGTCTCCAAAACATAACACCACCTGATATCTTGGTACATGTCGGCCATTATGGACAAAATCTTGGAGCTCTGAAAGAAACAGAGCAATGAATGAGTGCTTTTAACACAAAAACACACTCCAGGACTTCACATAAAAAATAACAGTAAATTAAGAATTCAAATCCCCAAATTGCAGCACACTTTCCCTTATCATGGTGATTTTTCTGGAAACTATTGATGTGGATGATGGAAATTTCCTTGTGAAATGTCACACAAAATACTATTTCGTCACAGAGTGTGGTGGACCACAGGAGGTGGGTGGGGACTCCACACAGTTTGGCCCGCTGTAAAGAATGTGACTTGATCATTTAGTGCTATTTCTGTGAGGTACTTACCCAGCGTAAGGACTTGCGGCCTCTCCCTTATTATTTTATCATTCACAACACAGAAATCTTCAACATGACCACAACCATCATAATACTGTACATGTTGAAGTTAAACTAGCAGTAAATGACAAATCCATAAACTCTGTTTCTAATAGCATCTAGTCCATTGGATAACAAATACATTTTGAATACCTGTACTGAAAATACATTTAATAAATGTATGTACTTTAGTAGAATTTTAAATCACTTATGTGTTACTAGAATCCCTTTATTGAGGAAATCTTTGCTTTTTAGTGTATTTATCAGACAGCTTAAGTTACAACTGTACATATTCAAATGTTATATACACATCATGGAATTAAACATGGCTGTAAAATCAAACTACCTAACTGTATATAAGTACTTTAAATTGCTACTTACATGGTAATACTTTTTAATTTAAGATATTTCTTCAGAGGAGAAGACATACATTTAATAAAATAAGATCAAATCAACTTTAGCAACAATTACAAATATAAGACTATTATTTACAATTTTAAATTGTATTATATTTATATTGTCAATGGATAGAGGCTGTCATATGATACTTCCTTTGAAGAGAATGTGGTGTCAGGCTAGTCAAAAGAACTGAGTGCTTACCAATGAGAAATTGCTGGGTGTCAAACAGTTTGCATGGCTGCTCCTTCTCCAGCTTGTTGGGTTTATCCATATATGGAGCCATGGGTCCCTCCCAGTACACTCGTCCCTGGCAGAGGCGATTAGCATATAACCCATCAGCCGTCATCCACAAAAGCACACCCTTCTCCAGTACGATAGGAAGCATGTCAGCCCCCTGCCTCTGAGACTCGGGGTACGGGAATGGAAAGAGGATGGTTTCCGCCCCGCTGTGAAGCTTGTCCTCTGAGCTTGAGGAAGAAGAGGAGGAAGATGATGGAGAGGAGGAGGAAGAAGAGGTGATCCGACATCCTTCTGGGCTGGTGGTGGTAACCTCCTTCACCATAGACTCTCTGTAGTATAAGGACACATGCAGGCTGAAATCTGGAAGAAAGAGAGGAGCGTTTAATCGATATACCAACAAAAACCCAACAACTCACAGCCTGAACATATTGGAGGCCTGGAATGTCAAGTGTAAATACAACTGTTTTCTCAGTATTGTTGGCATGCAGAGAACCACTCACTTCTCTATTATAATTACAATAATATTTTCACCCCTTTCTAGAAAAAACAACAACTATTCACTATCGTGAGTTTAGAATGGGGAAGTAAGAACGGATTTAACAAAGTTTTTTTTTTCTGTAAATGCAAATATCTTTTAAATAGTAAACAAGCTCATGGGTAAATGTCTTTCTGAATACGTCCACACATACTGTATGTTAAATGAGTGCAGGATGATTCATACCTGTTATGGCATTACTTTGGTCGAATGAATACACAGGCAGTTGAGACTCTGACAGGTAGGTGTGGAAGGAGAGCTGAAAACCTGTGCAGTATAAACAAAAAAACAATGGTCATAATTGGAGTAGTAGCTGTCAACAGCCACTGCGACACTTATTTGCAGGAATGAAGGTCTTATTTAATAGCAGACATTTTAAAACACTGGATTACCTACAAGTCACTAATAAAACCTTTTTACCGTTAAAGTTGCAGTTAAGAGATGGATACGAGCATCACACAATGATATACATAGGTAAGATTACACACTCTCTTTACATTTTGCATCAGTACACTTTATTATATGTCAGACTGCCAGTTTTATAAAATAAAAGCATTACACAATGTTAGATGATGGGTGGACTTTTATTAAACCCTCGTGGGGAAATTATTTCTCTGCATTTGACCCATCCTAGTGTTAGGAGCAGTGTGCTGCCATTTTGAACAGCGCCCGGGGAGCAGTGTGGAGAACGGTGCCTTGCTCAGGGACACCTCGGTAGCACTTGGTCTTGCCGGGACTTGAACAGGTGACCTTCCAGTTGCCAAGCCAAGTCCCTATCGACTTCGCCACCACCGCCAGATAGGTGTCTTGTACACCAAATTAAATTGGATCACATCTGCTAGTCATTAGAGTCACACTCACATTGATGGTCAACAATTCCATCTATATATTCTGTAGTTTTATAATCCTGGCCGCATCATACCATTTTCTGTGTGTGACCCCGGCCAAGCCCGGCTGAACGCTGACGGGTAGTGGCTCGAACCATACTGCAGCTCTGCATGTGGCCCGTGATGATGTGGAGGAGGAAGAGGTTGTTGTTCTGGGGGTGAGTAATCCCTCCAGTCCCTTCTCTCCTGAGAAACCATATAACCAGATACCTGAGAAGGAACCACATGGACGGTCACTCCGGAAAGACTTTATTAAACCAAGACATTTGCAATCAGAACACTGAAGATTAATTGTATGTGCCAGTCTATAGCATGCAGAAGCCACAAAACAATCTGCTGACCTGGTTCTGCAGAGACGTATAAGGAGGAACATAGCCAAGGGAATTTGCATGTGATGGTGTCTCCTCCATACTCATCTTCATACCTGTGTATGTACAAAAGCAGTAAAAAAAAATCTGATAATTGGTCCTCAATATTTGCTACGAAAGCAGTGCTTCTTCCATCCTCCAAAAAAAAGAAGTACTAACATATTTGACAATTATCAAGGATCATAACAGTTTTATATTAAAAAATAAGTATATAGTATATATGATGCTTAGAGCACTTGTGAGGTACTGTATTTCCATTTAAGTAATTGCAACTGACAACTGACTAAATCCTGTTGATTTCGATTTGCTAGCTCAGAGAGCAAGAACTGCTCGGGTGTGACAAAAACTGTTGTATGATGGCAGACACTTAGTTATGCAAGGCTGGAGGTCGCCTGGTTGTGTTATGCACCCTGCGCTTAGTAACCGAAGCCCTCTAAAAAAAGCACTACGGCCTCTTTGGTACATGCTTTGGCTTCCTTTGTGCTTCCTGCCTCATCAGACACAACTGCAGAGGTGCATATGTGAAATGTGGCCAATAGTATGTAAATAAAGTTAGATGCTATGTGAAATGCAGGAGTGTTGTGTAATGTAATCAAACGAACCATAGCTATGAACAGCTTTACATTTTTCAGTCTGTTATCAAATTCTAAGCATAAACAATTTTACTTATCTTGAAACATCTGTCACCACATGCATTGGTGGCTGAGTGTGTTTCTCACAAACTACACTGTATGTTAGATAGATGATGTCTACGTGCACGTACCTCTTTTGGCTGCCTCTGGAATTATTCTGTAGACTTTATAGGGGACTGTGATGTCCAGTTGGCTTCTTTGCACTAACTCATCAAAGTCATTGCTTTTATTAAGAGCACAGCGTAGTCTTGTTTTCCATGTGGGGGGGTCTGGCTTGTCGACTCCTTCCTTATATTTTCCCTTAAACAATGCCCATGCCTGAAACAATCATTTAGCAGATTAATATACACTACCTCTTCTAACATAGACATGACTGAAGTACCAACACTTTTTTTAAGTTGGCCTTCTGAGGAATAGTTTTTTGCATTAACACTTCAACAAAATCTATATATGTGTTTAAATGCAACAGTTGGAGGCATCAGGTGCAGTGTGAGAGGAAAGGTAGGATGGTCTGACCTTGAAGAGAGCAGCATCCTCGTCTCTGTTATAGTCTTGTTTTCCTGCATGTTTCCACGGAATCCTAAAGATACTTTTTTCTTCATTTTCCCAGACCAGGCCACCATAGAGTCTGCTGTCAATCTGATCTATCAGCCACTGTCTCAGTTTGCCGTTGCCACAGCTGACTGTCAAGCCACTGTCCTCGTCCAGGTTCATCTCTGCAAAAATAAAGAACAAAATATAGCGTCTAACAAAACAGTAGGCCCAGTAAAGTGATGCAGTTATAATTATACTTGTTGTAATGTAAAGTGTTTCTTTAAATTAATCTGAGAATCTAAGATTGACGAGATTTTTGGTTTATCATAGGTCTCCCTTGAAAAAGAGATCTATGATCTCAATGGGACCAATCTGGTTAAATAAAGGTTTGAAATTAAATGAAATCATAAAACAGTACAAGTTTCATTAGTATAATTTCTACTGTAGCTAAAATGACTTTTCAATTACAATACTTTTAGAGATAAAAAGAGATGTTAGTGTTAGTTAGCACTTCCCCTCCGCAGCCCTATAGCTGCAATATTAGCAATCAATTTGAATGCATTTTAACTAGCCATGCTTTGGATTCTTTTGGCCAGACTGATTTAAAAAAGAAAGTATATGACAGTAGAGGTCCATGTGGGAAGTCTACTTCAGGTTTAGCACCTACATATCTGTGAGAGAAAAATAACTGACTCATTTAAGACATGTATGACTAGAAACAAACGTACTGTAGCATAGCTATAATTAAATTATAGCAGAGTTTTAAGACAACTGCCATTATACATGATACAATATATGTATGCATGTTTTAATATAGTAGTACATATACTTAATTACATTATCCAGGTGCTTGTAATTTACTCAAATTCAATGTGAAAATACTTTACTTTGTATACTTTTAACCTTTACTCCACATTTGGAAGAAAATATTGTAATGTTTACAGAGATTAGTTACTTTGTAGGTTCATATTTGTATTACAAAGATTAAATTGACTTGTGAATTATGACGTACTATCATAAATAAGAATATAATAAGGATGTTGAGGGTATCTCCACCTTTACCAGCTGCAAAATTACAATTGTTTTCCATAAATTGATCACTAATTAGAATCCAGTGATATAATACGTATGTACTTTAATGTATTAATATAATTTGGTAGTACTACTTTTACTTAAGTAAAACATGTGAGTTCTTCTTCCACTACTGTACTGTATAGGCTATGCTAATAATACATTTGATCACTATGACTTCATGTGAACAGTTCAGTTGAACTTTTGGTATTTCTTAAATGTATTTCAAGATTTATTTAACTTACAAGTCTTCTAAATTCAATAACAAACCAATGTTATCATTATATTAGAACTAGCAAACTTTATGCTACAGAGGTGATTGAGATCAAGCATTTTATCCTGACTGAATGTGCTGGGGTTCATTGGTTCAATACAAATGTAATGAATAACAATGTTGAAAATACATTTAAAAAAGGAGCTTCTGCAGCTTACCGTTGATCATGCGAACTCTCCCCGCTGAAATCTGTTAATAAGGTCTCGGTTTACTGTTCTTAAATGTTCTCACATCTTGATTTGTTACAGGGAGGGGCCTCTCGGTCTCTGAGAAGTTGAAGAGGAGATGCGCAGTAATCAGGCGCTCATTTCTGTGAAATTTAGCGCCAACGCACTGTGGTGGGGAATCCCTCTGAAACCGTGAGCAGACACCAGGACCAAGTGGAACAGTTACCTGTACATTTTTTCCAATGTAAAATATTTCCCCCACGTGTTTTTTGTTTTGCTAAAAGCCTACACGTGCAGTCAAATTTCCAGTGACAACTGTTGATTCGTTTTTGTTTCTGTTATACGGGGGAAACTAAATTGAGGCATGAGGAACCAACAAAGTCAAAAGACACATGGTTGAATCCGAACATTAGTTTTTGGCTACATTAGTATTACTGCCCTCCAGTGGCTATCAATGCGCATGCCCTGCAGTTATCTACAGTTTAAAGACTATCAAATCTCTTATCATTCTGAAATGTATGTTTTTTTTAATGCTTTATAGCAAGTAAGTAAGTCATAAAATATCATGTGATTACAGAATGTGCTCTTGGTGTTTTGGATGTCACCACGCGTGACTTACCTTGCACATTAGACAAACAGGAAGACAACCAGGAAACAGAGATGTGAACACAACGTGTTCTTATCACCTTTGATATGACAACCCACCACAGCGTTTTAGTGTACCCCTTTTATTTTTCTCAACTGGAAATTATCGTGACACAGTACAAAAAACACAGCATTCATAAATTAACAAAAACAACATCACCAGAAACATCAACCATACTAAAAATGAATATGTGCTGTAACATGTTAATTGTCTCTTAGTGTTCATAATATTTTGTGATTACTCCAACGGCGATAAACCTCCTGTCAGTAGTCCTCTCTAAAGCATATTAGCTCTCCAGATAGGTCAAGAGTACTGTAGCATCAGATGGTTGTGTAATCCTCCAGGCTGAGCAGCAAAATATCTCATAAACATATCTGATCAGATACCTCCAGGTGGAGTACAGGCCTTTTTCTCCACGCTCTCACCATCAGCTTTAGTCATCTTTGCAAGCAACTCACGTAGATCGGCCTCATCATTGAAAGGGTTGTCTTTATATTCCTTTTGTAGCCATTCTCTGAACTGCAGAAAGAAATAACAGCTTGTAAAAGAAACATACGAAATGGAAGACACTGATGGTGCACTCTCTCCTGTTCCTAGCACTGACCTGTTTGGCTTGAGTAGCCTCAAACTCTTGGAGCTGGTGCTGAAAGCCCCTGTTGGGCCCAGCACAGGGCCGGACCACCTTGACTGCGGCCAGCGCCTCCTGCCAGCCCAGTCCCGTCACCGTCATGATATAAGCCACCACCAGGGTGACACTGCGGGACACCCCTGCCAAACTGGAAGCATAGATGAATGGACAATAAGTATAATGAAATGAACCCAAACTGTAATCTCTTTTGAATATGTAAAGTGTGTAAAAAGCACATAATCATCCTGGACATGATTGGGTTTGGTACTGTTCTATATTCTGGCTATGTTTTGTGCACGTAACATATCATATCCTGGTTTGAGGAATTGTCAATAAGCCTACTGGTTTTGTAAAACTGAAATACTTATGTAAACATTCCCTTAAAGTAGGTTACACCCGGTTAAAAACTAGGCAGCTAATGCACATGTAAATATACTATATGAGTACTAGAACTAAACCACCTTGTATAGGAGGATTGTGTAAAATACACAGTAGAGTCACAGTAGTAAATATCTAAAGATTAAAATATGCATTAGGCAATATCAACCAGACTACTGACGATGCCAGATAGACAGAGAAAATACATTGACTGAGTGGTAAAATATGGTGTGGAAACTGATCGGATGAACACTTTAAACATCTTAAAGAAATATAAAGTATTAACTCAATTAATAATATACTCAAATCAACGGTAACATGCAGATGTTTATAAATAGCCTCTTGTTCCCCTGTATTTCTGAGAAGACCATCAGTCTAACCGAATATAACTTTCCCCTGTGAACATATGGTCAGCTACCCCAGTACACAAACACAATGTGGTCAGCCTTGTTACTGTACTCTGTTTCGGGAAGTTCAAGAATAGGCTTTTGCTTATCATGTAATCCCCTCTGTGCAGCAGTTACACATGAGTTCACTTGTGTACTTGGTTGATCTGTTTCAGCTTTTGGGTAGCATCTCTTTCCTGTGAGTGAACCTTGAATCAATCTTTGAAGTATAGATATAACAAGCAGTCTTAATCTCACCAGTGAACGAGGCAACCTTCTCCTTTCAGGCGGGACTCGTGCATGAACATTATACTTTGCTTAAAGTGCTGAGTCCTGTGAAGCAAATAAAGTATGTTAACATAATAAATCATTATGAGATCACAGCAAGAACTACTATTAAGAGCGGTGACTATGTGTGGTTATTTTGTCCTTACTGACACTAAAGGTGGATTGCTTAACAGTTTTTCTTACATACCAGTAGTATGTTTTGCACCTGACTTGTCAAACTCTTTTTATGTCTTATCCTGGATGGATCAGGATGGGGGTGTGTTCATATCAGGTTTGAGAAAGTCGGTCTCATATTTTGCACAACAGGTTTCAAACACTTCGCAGTGTGAATGTAAGAGGTATTACGCAACAGGAGGAGTAAGGGTGACAAGGGCATCGGCGTGCATACAGTACGTGTGTAGAAATATGTGCATGTGCAAGTGGTATAAATAGAGACACAGCGCTGCAGAACTGAGCTGTTGGACTTCCTTTCTGCTGAAAGACCGTCTGATATGTGAATTTGGCCATAGAAGATTTGTGTTGGCATGTGTGTCTAAATCAGGGTATCATTTTGTGATACATGCACCACCCTTGATTTTTCTTAGCATGCATTTGGGAATGTCATGTCCTCATGTCAATTAAAAAACAACAACAACCATGCACCAAAGAGCTGAATCCAGCTGTGTTCGAGTTTAGAGAATAAGTCTAGTTTAATGTTAAGCTTGTGAAAGCATATCATTTACACGTTAGGTTGAAAGAAATGAACCTCAGACACCCACACAGTGCAGCCTCAAATGCATGCTGTACTCTCTCTCTGCCTCAGCCTTTCATTGTTCTGTGCCTTGTTGCTGTGCTGCACATTTTGGTACTTACAGGTTTTGTGTGGGCAAGTCAGCTGCTGAAATGCATAGATAGGTCATCTCCTGAGGGAAAAAAGTATTATAGTTACCCATCAGCAGTCACTTACTCTGATGAATTTTAACACAGAATAACAAACAGCTGGTAATAAATATCACTGAAGGCTATGTGGTGAGCACAGGCTGTGCTTTTTATTTGGGAAAGAAATATCCACATTATTCATGCTTATCTATTAATAAATGTATTAAAATAATAGTATAATAGAAAATGGTGTGATACTTAATTGTCTTAACGCCCAGCCCTTAACTGAAGCTTCTTATGTATTTGCAGTTTTTTGCAAACCTACTCAAAATCCATTACATAGAAAAAATAATGAAGCGAAACAGCACAATCCACAGTGGCTGAAGCAAAAACAAACGCCTACTCTTAAACCCACGCAGGCACACAAATCAGCACATTGACCCAACCAACTGTTGTTGACTGGCATTTTTCCTGATACTTCAACCATCACATGAGTATGAAACTCCTTCTTACTGTTTACTCACTCACTCGGGACTGACAACTGTTTGCTCAAGAACAGGATGGACAATGAGTTATCTTATCATGTTCACTGTACTAATTCACCAAGAGGGGGCTCAGCCCATCAGATCTGTTCCTCCTCATTTGATGTATCACTCTGTTTAAGAGATTAATGAGAAATATAGATGCAAACTAAGGGAACAAGATGTTACAGTAGATGTATAACAAGTAGATGAGCTTCTCACCTGGAGGATGGGAGCTGCACTGTCATGAATTGACAGGATGTGTGTGATGTTGTTTCTGGCTAACTGTTCTCGGTCTTTGGCATCTGACACAAAGAAATAACAACACAATCACATACAATTGGTATGGGGGGGGTCATAACTAAGATAAAACGGTTTAAAAAAACAATTAGACACACCTTTGAAATTCCCCAAGTACAAGTCAGGCAGGACCTACAGTATAGAAGGACAGAGATCAAGTTCAGAATCAGACATGGTCAAAGCATCATAGTGAGGAGGTGCAGCAGCTGAGGGAATTTGAAACAGCTGACTCAAATGACACCCTGAAAATATGAAGTGATAATTAGAAATCGAAATTTTCAGAGCTTTTGACGAGATTATTTTTACCACAATATCAGTAAAATAATCCCCATTATGTTAAATATTCACCACTTTAAGTAATAAAGCATAAATTACATTGATTTAATTATTATTTCTAATTTCTTCATGCCAATCTAATAAACGCAACTTTTTTTCCATAAACATCTCAAAGACTTTATGGTAAAATGAAATCGCCTTAATTACTCTCAAAAACACTGAGGAATACGAACTCAGCGCTAGTCTCTTGCAACAGATGAGAGTCGTACCTTGTTGATGCCATTCCCCATGCTGAGAGATCGTCTAATTGAAAAGAAATGCCACGCTGTGTTTCCTCGTTGTTTAAAAATGCTTATCCAGCGGCTTGACGGCTTCCCAAACCCACTGTAGTGGTACAAATACAGTAGCTCCGTTTCCGAGCAAAGCAGAGCACTGCTTCCCAAGCACGCGTTGAATGCTGGGAACTGTAGTTTTCTGATACAAGGACAGCAACGTTCAGGGATACACAGGATAGGAAGATTGAACCATTAATCTATCCTGAAAAATGGCAGGCAATCTAAGACCTCTATGGCAGCAGGCCAGTGCCAGTTCCTTAGGACCATGATATTCACTTTGCCACCAAAAACAAAACAAAAAAGGCCCCTAATAACCATTACAGTAAAGCCTCAATTCACAGTACACATTTTGTCATTGCAGTGTAAACATCCGTGCTATTATATCATATAACTTTGCACGTCGTGGGGCCACAAGTTGGCCAAGGGTGGCCCTGCCTAGCATTGTACATGGCAGCCGTTTTCTTAATACATCCATGATGTTGACTCACTCGAATGGCTGTGACAGGTTCAAAAGAGTTGGATAATAATAAAATGTATTGATAACAGCTGTGTTTACACATCAATGCCATATCTTTTTTTATGCTGCTGCAACACAAACATTTCCCAAATTGGGATCAATAAAGTACTATCTTATCTTATCTATCTTGTCTTATTGTAGCACATTATCAACTCTGGTGACTCATCACCTCAATCCACAATAAGATAAATTAAGAAGCAATCAACAGCATGGGTAACTTCAGGGGTGCTATTAACAGAGAAATTATGGCAGCTGTTCTGTACTGATTATAAACACGTTAAAACATCAACAGGAAGTAATGCTACCCACTGCCCCACATTGACAGCACGTTGACACCGCAGGCGACAGTGGTTTAACTTCCTGGTGATCTGTTGTTGCTATGCTGGGCAGTGTGTGACCACCAGACTATAAAAGAAGGTGTCTGCCTACTAAACACTGCTCCACATGCGCAATTGCCTCTTGTACCATGATTGGAGCTGTAAAATATGAAGTGGGCTGGATATCAGTCCACTCAATGCTGATACATCGCGCCTCCATATCAATCATACTGTTATTCTGGTCTCTATTAGTCTAAAATAGCCATAATCTCATAGTTGAATAACTGAAATGTATCATGTGTGCTGTTGATAATAAAGTTGTTTTATTGCATGGACTTCTGTAAATAATTATTGGAAAAGCTGACTGATAATGCGACCTTAACAAAATTAGTCCTATAGCCATTTATTAAACAACTTGCAAGTAGTTTCCACACAAATCAGAATGTTAAATGCACTGACTTTTCTGTTCATTAATCACAAAGCTCGATACACTGCACAGCAGAATAGTTTTCTAAATTAGCTGAAGATTACCAGCAATAAACATGAATGATAGAGAAACAAAAATATGTGTTGCTCAGAAAAACGTGACACTACAATACAGGTAAATATGAAACTGCTTTGTGGTGGTTTTAGTTTGCAACAGGAGGAATTTTTAGTGTGGGCGTTCACAGATAGGCTGCCCAAGATGTAGGCCTTCATGTCATACATCGCCTACGCTGGAAGGGGTTACAATTCAAGTGGTTTCCTGCTTCAATTTCACATAAACATGAGTTTTATCAATGAACTTGTTTATTTGTTTTATGCATAAAGCTAGGGCATTTTTAGCTTGGCTGCTGTGAAATGTTTTCTTTCAAAATTATATAAATGTCTCTTCCTCATTGGTTCTGGTAAAGCTTTGCTCTCTTAGATGACAAATTGTGTTTTGATACAGCTGGTCATTGTATAGAGGTAACAATATATTGAATAGCTAGTGTTACAGGGAAATGCAAGGTGGTTTAGTCTGCGATAATTAATTTCACCAGTAGGTGGCGACTTTGCCATGCAACAATATTTACAATGACGCTCGAGGAATTTGTATCTCAAAAAATTACTTGTAATGAACAAAGTCTGAGATAAATAACTTAACATTGTATCCTGAATTTTAGTTTTCATTACTTTCATAGGGTGTTTCGGTGCTTTTTTGGTTTGTATTTTGTACACATGAATATCTATCTGAGTTTGTTGGTCGTCCTGATCTGGTATCGACTTTTTAGCCTGTTTGTAGTTTCTTATGTCCAAAGAGTTTCGCTTCTAGAGAGGACGTCGCGGAAATCCCGGAACTACAAGTGCCCCAGCGTTGCTTAGCTTGTCCAGCTCTTTTTCGGTGGGTTTTACTCCATAATTTGTATTAATAGCGGATGTGGTGTATAATGTTGTTCGTCGGGTGAAGAGTTTGGTAAACATTTCGACGGTTAAGTTATTTTTGCTCAAACTGTCGGATAACTTTACGCGTTACCTTTTAACTTCAGCCTGTCAAAGTGTTATGATCGTTATGGATGGTTGAGTCACCGCGTCAGACTTCCAGTTTCTCTCCATGAAACATTTCTTTATTCTGCAATTTAGAAATGTGTTATGCTTTGTTGTGCTTTGTTTCTTGTGTCGGTCAGCTGTTTTATTGTGCTATTTTACCAGGGATGGCCACCGCGCCACAGTCTTCTTTTCAAATGAGATCGGCTGATCTGATCAGAAAAGAGGCCCTGGACTATGGAGGGTTTGGAGACGTTTACCTGTGCTACCATGTAACCCTCGGCCAGGTGGTGTTGAAGACCATGTATACAGGCCCTATTCGCAACGAGTAAGTTCTGTGTTACTGAATGCATTGTTGGTCTGCTGGGTATTCCCCCTTGCTTCAATGGTAACATGCATCATGTGCCCAGTCAGGCTCTCTACAACATGTAGTGGACTGATAATGTTTTTGACAGGATAATTGTATTATGTCCTTAGATACAGTACTGATGGAAGAATGTTGCCTGTGTAAAATATTGTGTAATCCCAGATAAACTATTGCAATACAGTTTAAAAATCTGAGTTATTATGCACAATCTGGGTAGGCCATGGCCTACCCAGATTGTGCATAATGAAGAAGCTCAGATTTTCGAACTTCCTTTTTTACAGGAACAAATTAAAATACTTGAAATGCGGATGTAGTCTAGGTCCAACATCCGTTTTTTTCAGACAAAATGCCTTAATACCAAATTCTGTGTTGATTTACATTCACAGTCCTTCTTTTAAAAAAAACATCTACTAAATTATATTTGTGTTGTAGCCGTATAATTGGATTTCTTAAAAGGACATTTCAGATTCTGATTTTACTGTTATTTATAGCAAGGTATGCATAACTGAAACCTAATATCTCCAAATAGTGATACCTACTCAATTTAAATCTGTATTTCACTGTGTGCATGATGACAATATATTGGAATGAATTTATTTTGCACAACAAATGGAGTTGCCTCTTGTCAGGCGGATATCTGGTTCTTACTATTTTTTACTAATACTGTACTGTCCAGGGAGAATAAAAAGTCGCTGCTGGAGGAGGGGAACATCATGGCCAGCCTGAACCATGAACGAGTGGTGAAGCTGCTGGGTGTGATCATGGAAGAAAGAGACTGCTCGCTAGTAATGGAACTCCTCCCCAGAGGCAATCTGTCTGTCATGCTAGAGACGGTGAGCAGATTCCATCCATAGTTGGCTGGCTTAACTTTTTTTTTATATATGACTTGAATTATAAAAGCACTTAATTATTCCCAGGTCTCCGTGCCACTATCCATCAAGTGCAGAATCGTCTTAGAGGTTTTGGAAGGGATGATTTACCTGACAGAGAGACACGTCATACACAAGGACATCAAGCCGGAAAACATTTTAGTTGACAAGGATTTTCACATCAAGGTATATCACAAACTCGGTCCTATTTGTGATTCTGACAGCAAGCATGTACATTTACGGTAATCCCGAATGTCTTTGTTTCATAGATTGCAGACCTTGGCCTGGCCACCTGCCTGACATGGAGCAAACTCACAAAGGAGGAGTCCAGCAAAAGGAGTCGTAAAGCGCGCTCAGCAGGGACGAGAGCGGCTGGGACACTGAGCTACATGGCCCCTGAGCACTTGGAGAGTATACACACAGTCTCCACTGAGAAGTCTGACGTCTACAGCTTTGCAATCGTAGTTTGGGTCATCGTCACAGGGCAGGAGCCGTATGCAAGTGAGTTGGGATGCCAAATAATGCTCGAATGAATAATAAATGTTAACAAGGCTCTGTTTGTAAGACATCAACTGCCTGGTTATTGTCAGAACCCTTAAAGTAAATGATATGTTTCTAGATGCAAGGAGTGAAGAACACATCAGCCAGTGCGTCCGTAACGGGGACCGACCTGCAGAGAACCTTGTTCCAGAAGATACGCCTGTAGAGATCCTTCAGCTCATGAAGAGGGGCTGGGATCACAATCCGGTGCAAAGGCCAACATTTAAAGGTGTGCTTTTTGTGTGTGTGGAGTAAAAACATTAACATGCGGTCTAAGGTGGCTCAGTGGAAAATGACAGTCTTATGTGTTCAGATGCAAAGAAAATAACATTAAAATCATTCATTGTTGTTTTTTTTTTACAATCCAAGGCTTAATTTGAATATATGTTTAAACACTGATATCATTATATTGTTGAATGAAAATCATTCTCCTATCTTTCCCTTTTTTTGTAGAGGGATATGACTTCCTGATGCCTTTCTACATTGAAAAGCTTGAACCTCTTGTAGAGGAAGATTTACAGGAGCTGAGGGTAAATATATATGTTAATGATTTATTGTAACAATCTCATCCTCTGTACACAGTGAAATTAAAATAAGTGAAGTAAAAAAAACAAGGCAATATCGATAACATTTCTGAGTGATTTTTATGCAGAAATTATATGAAGGCCCAGAGGAACTTGTTGAGAAGATGAAAACTCTGTCAATGACCCAGGAATGTTTTTTGCCAGGTGAGTACTGTTGGCAATCTTGATGAGCTGATTATAATATTTACACTGTAATGTCCACCCTGTGCGGGATGTATTACATTTTTGTCTTCGATGCTCAGAAAGCTATAAACATTGTGGGATCAAGTAGCTTTATCGCTTTAACATCTCTCCTCACCTTGCAGATTGCCCAGCTCCCTTGATGAGTTCAGACAGAAGTGTACCTGGGCCAGTTGAAGCCAGCATTGAGGACATGCATGACATCCAATATGAGCAACCTCTTCAGACAGACGCAAAGGCATTCAGAAGCCCTTCAGCTTTGGAGGAGAAGCTGGCTCAGGAGCTTCAGTACCACAAACATGGCAGCTACAACCAGCTTGAAATCTATCAAGGCAACCCAAATCCTTTCCTGCAAAACCACTTCAGCAATTCAGATCAAGCTATCCAGCAACCAGAACCAGACAAACCTTCTGGTGCATCCTCTGTCCAATCATGGACAAAAGCTGAGCCAGTGCAGCCCACCAGCCAGGAGGAGGCGTATCGCCCTACTGCTGGTCTCTATAATTCCATGAACTCCTCCATACCTTCTCCATGCCACTTTCCAATGTCTGCCAGCAGCCCTTCTCTATCACAATATAACCAGCAACATCCACACTCCCACTATGACCGCCAGCAGTCCTGCCCAGTTTACCCAGTGTCGGATACGTCTGCTCCTGATATCAAGCCCGGGCGTCTCCTAGCACCCTCAAAGAGCTACTCACCACAAGATCCAGGTACAAACAGACATGTCTTATTGATAAAGTGTTTCTTCTTGCTCTAGATGCCTGTGGTTTTCACAGCTCTGCCAGCTTTGACTGACATGTTGGAGAGACTGTGTTAATGTTTTTTGCCTTGTGCTTGTTTCAGGATCTCTTTTCATTCAGAATGCGAGCGGGATCCAGATTGGGAGCAACAACTTGATGAGTATCAGAGGTCACGAGGCCTCCAATAGTTTGATGTCTCTGCCTTCGAATGCCTCAGCACACTCTCCCATCAAAGAAGGCATTTTGAAATATGGTAAACCATGGGAATTTTCCTTTAATGTAACACAGATGATAGTTTGTCTATATGTTTACTGTTTATTTTGCAAATAGGATACTAATTGGGGCTGCAATCAAAATGAATTGAATATTATGGTTTTGCTGTCAAATGTCAACATTTCCAGATCCTAAGATGGAATCTTTAAATGTCTTGTTTTCAATCTGAACAAATGTCCAAAGGAATTGCTATTATATACAAACATGAAAAGCAGACATTCTGTCATAAATGGAAAATAACTAAAACCAATTTTCAAAATAGTTGCCGAACCATTCTTGGCGATCAACTAAACGATTCATCCAGTTATCTTTTCCGTCTCTAGTAGTTAGTCAAAAGCAGTAAAATGGTGAAGTTAACAATGAAGTTTGCAATTTTGCATGTGAGATCAGATGAGAACAACAGTTTTCTAATAATCCAAAGCAAAGGTATTTCATTGTTAAAAATTCAGAGGTAAACTTAAAACAAGTTATCATTAGTGTTGAATGAAGTCGTCCTTAAATATGTTTATTTTCTGTCCTTCAGAGGACAATGCCGTGACCGAGGGTCACCTGGACATACTGAGGGACAACATCGGTAAAAAATGGAAGGGATGTGCACGGCGACTGGGTCTGAGCAGTGTGGAAATAGAGACCATTGAGCACGACTGTTTCCGTGACGGCCTCCCCGAAATGGTGCATCAGATGCTGGATCGGTGGAAAATGAAGGAGGGAAGTATTGGCTGCTCTATTGGGAAGCTTTGTCGTGCTCTGGATGGTCACATAAAGATAGATGTCATCCAGAAAATATTGGACTCCTGCAGTTCTTCCTCCTAGATCTGATAAACGTTCTACCTCTGACCCTCTGCTCATGATGGTCACATTTTATTAACCATTTGCAACATTTAAAGGCTCTCTCAACCAAAAAGTATACTATTTTCTGATTTATGGGACGCATTTGAAATACCTTCTCTCTCGCAACATGTGTCTTGCTCAAAGCATTGAAAATGGCGAAAACTGAAGAGCTCACTTGACTTCTTCACTGAAATGTTTCCTTTGTTACTTTTTTAAATCCTCACAGCTCCCTGTGAACCGTTCTCACTTTCTGGTACTCACTCATTTTGAGAAATTGTTACCCGGACTTGACTTTTATTGTGAACGTTTTCAAATGACTATACATTTTTCTAGCAAGACAAGCTTGTTCAAATTTGAGGTTTTTCTTAATATGGAATTTCAAAATCAGTTTTAAAAGCAATAATAGCCTGAATGATTAGTATATTATGCATATTGCAAACAATGTGTTACAGTTGACACATGAGACAAGTCTAAGCAAGAGTTATTACAAAAGTAATGTTTTTTATATAAAATGTCAATTATGATTGTTTTTTTTTGTGCACGGTTACTGTAGCTTTAAGTGAATATTAACTCATATTTAGGGACAATCAAATAGTGTGTGGTAAACATTTATTCCATCCCAACACAAAAAGAAAGACTTCAATCACAGAACATGCAGGGTCAGCTACTCTGTAAGAATGTAAGAAGCTGAAAACACACGGTATGTATTCACAGAAAGACAGAACAAGTCCACAAATACATTTGCATTTTTGTTGTCATCCATGTGTCCAGTGGGAATCAGTAGACACTCATGAGATGAGTAACATTTCATTTCAAACCTTTATTTAACCAGATTGGTCCCATTGAGATCATACTGTAGATCTCTTTTTCAAGGGAGACCTGCAGCATATAGGTTCCACATGAAACCTAAAACAATAAAGGACATCATACATTATATTTACAGGATACATTTACATAGTTATAGACATTTACAAGTGCCCAAAGTATCAACGAGCATTTAATTTAGTCTAGCTTTAAAAACATGCAGAGATTGCTCAGTTTCAATTCTTGCTGAAGACTGTTACATAAAGTCTGTCTCCTTCAGCTTGAGACCTGCTGTAGATTATCTTCTTACATTTCCCCAAATCACAGTAAAGGTGCATTAATTGGCATTGAGCTATTCCTTTGAATGATCAGTGTGTGGATTTACTCTCATGATATCAGATTGTCTTTAAACTGATACGCTGCTGTGATGTACTGTATAGCATCAATTATAAGATTTTATGTTTTGTTCCTTTTCATTACAAAATGTTGTGATAAAAAAAATGTCTTCACTGTGTTCTTCTTCAACAAGTTTTACCCAAAACCAGTTGTATTTTAAAAGCCATTTTGATATTCTAAATAAACTGAACAAATGTTTATAAAATCCCAAAGTAAATTAATTTCATGTGTTACATGGATGGAACTACACACTTTCAGATGGTTTTACTTTAAATATAACTGCTTATATATATATAATGAAAACATCAACAGTGCTGTCACTTCTAAACTAATGACTTTAGACTACAAGTATACGCTATATGTGTATCCCAATTTCACACGTCATCCTTAATCTAAGGGAGTGCTGAGAATTATTTCCATATACTTATTCAAAAATGTGTTTGTTTTTTACTTTTCTCTTGATTGACACTTTTATTCCACGATACCATACACAACATGAGAGGAAAAGTGTTCAGAGTGGGACAGAAACATGTAACAAACTGTTTTGTGAAAAGCTTTCAAAAAAACCGAACTTCAAAGTAAGTGACTTTTAAATGATCCGTCATGATGTATTTAGAAGTTTAGATTGCAGACTATTAAAGGTTCCTGTTTGATTGAACAAACAGCTAAGTACTGTATGTGGATATACATATGCTAACTGCAAAGACAATATGCAAAAATATTAAGTATTTACTCTATGCAGTATAGAGTATTGGATTGGGACACACTAAATATCACAACTGAACAAGTCGACATTTACAATAATGCCAATAATAATGTATTTTTGATCCGATATAGACTATGATAACATTAAAACCCCACATTAGACTCTAGAGGGCTCTGCATACAATGACATAGACTATAGTTTGAATATGGGCATGGCAGTGTGTTGTAGTATGCAGATATTTTTCCTGAGCATTAGACGAATAAACAGTGGATTCTATTATTTTTTCATCCCCAAATGCACCTGACAGGAAGATTAATTTTCTCTCTGTTTTCATTAAAAATACTGTTTGAACTTCCATGAAAGGGATTACAGATGATGATGATCTGATGATGAGCTATAGTGATAGCCACTGCTGTTCTCCTTCCCTAGGTAGGTTTAATATTATCTCCACTAAACACTATAACAATGATTCCTTTCAACCCATGAATGACTATTGATAATATCCTGGTATACACATGTGAGCAGGCTTTAGCTTCTTAACAGTAATTACATCAAGGTTCTATCAGATTGAGGCATGCTATTAAAATGGCACCCTGTTGATTTAAATAACGATTTAAAAACTTTTGTTAAAACAGCAACATATTTTACATGACAATTAAGACATGGCTTAATATTTGGAATAGATGAAGTAGCAATAGGTCCACGGGAGAATTTGAGGGTAATAATTCAGTGAGTGTCTAAAAAACTAAAGTTTGATGTGTCTCATATTTGGTCCTGAGTGAATGCCTAAATCCTATCATCGTTAAATTTACAATGGATTTACAAACAACAAATATTACAAACAACATGACCTTGATAATCTTTCTCCTCTAATACATGTATCTGCAGCTACATATTGGATTGCATTGATTGTTTGTTTCATGTGTGTTTCTTCCATTTCCCTCTATTGTAGTGACAAACATATTATACAAATCAACTATAGACATCCTATTTTCATTGTATACAAAAATAATGACTTGAGGTTCACATAATACAGATAGATAGACATTATTATGTCTATCTATTATTATGTGCAGAACCATAACAATAGTATTATGTTGCCATATTTAGTTTTACAGTGTGTACATAGATAATTGATCAAGCACCATAAACTGTAAACCTGCAGTTGTCACATGAAAACAATACGAGGGTTGACAGGGGATGGATGTTTTTACCACTTTTGAAATGAGTTATATTTTTGTTCTCCTGCAAAGCCATCTTCCAGGACAAATCTGTGTAGAACAGTGAGACTCATGGTATCAAAGTGTAGAAACGATATGAATAACAGATATTAGTTGTATCATCAGCATACACCCACAGTGACCAGTCAACTGCCTGAGGTTTAACCCAGGCTTTACTAAGATAATGCGAACAGCAGATTACTAAATATCAAGCCCTTAATAAGGTCTACAAGTATTTACAAATCAACTATCCATGTCTTTAAAGTGCAGAACGTTAGCTTTGATTTGAATGTAAGCGATAGGATCCACAGTTAAATCATACATGTATCATGTGTTGTACTTATCCAATATACTATTACTTTGTAGTGAGCAGTCAGGAATGTGCAATGCTTTCTGCAACATAACCTATTTTTGCATTTTATCCCACGCACATTACATTTGTCATTATTATTATTATTAAAGTTAAATCAGTGTTGATTATTTCAATTGATTATTGGTGTTTGCACCAATATGCATTTAGCAATATTTGGACCATAGTCTGATAAAATATATGGTTTTATCGCAGTCAGTCAAACCACATCCATACAGTCCTGATCACAGAGATGAGATTATCTTTGTTTTGTTGCAGGCTCATAATTAATATTATCTTAAAATGATTTTTTGTACAGATTCAACCATTTTACTATATAGAAAACATCATTAAAATAAATGGGCTTCATTAACTCTCAAAGTTTAAACAGTATGCTTCAAATTATGTTGAAACTTGCCCTCCGTCCAACTTGACCAAGCTTATGCAAATGTTAGAGTAAAATAAGAAAACTTCACTAAATCTAGCTTTTAAAAAAAGTAATACACAGTAATGGTAGATCCAGAAAGAGGATGTGGCCAGTAGTGCTACAAGGAATGTATTAGGTAATCAAATATTGATTTAAAATGAAGTTGGTACAATTCCTCAACACCTTAAATCTCCCTAGGGTTTTGGAGACATTTTTAGATGTTATTTAAATCTGAAAAAAGCTACAAACCGGGCAACTTTTTGAAAATTACATTCACTTTAAATGATTAAATGCGGTTTGCATTAAACCTTAAATGCTATTCTGTCATATTAACAAATAAAAACATAGTGGGTGACAAAAGATAAAATAGCTACAGTACATGGCGTGTGCCAAAACACTTAAGGAGCATACAGTACGTCGCTGAACAAGATTTCCTGAAATATATAAATTACGTAATGCCACATCTTAAAGAACATAACCTGCAAATTAAGTCCAGAGATATTCTGTAAACATTGTAAATTGAGATAAGTATCAAGGCCAGGCGACTTTTGCATGGCCTGGAACCATCTCCAAATTAATGTGAAAATTGTCTATTTCTGAAGTCCTTTTTGCACACATGATGGCCAGCAGAGACTTTTTGTGGCACACATTTTGATTCTTCTGCCTTTGTGTTTGGGGAATTGGATTGTCTAGAACTTTAGATGGGTCGTCAATGGCAGGGTTAGGGATGCTGCAGATTTGAGGGTAGTGTCTGAAGCATTCAAAAGCATCATTGCACTTTATTGTTTCTATAGGAGGTTGAGCAGAGTAGTTAGATGAAGGGAATGGGTTGGTCTGTCTGTGCAATGAGCAAATTCGGACCCTGATCTCTGTCTTGGAGCAGCAATTTGCTGACCCCTTCGTGCATTGAAAGCAATTCAGAAAGACGTGGCATAGAGTACCAAGGTCCTTGCGTATCACCTTGCGAACGTTCGGCCTCAGCATTAGGTAGATGATTGGGTTGTAGATGGTGGACGACTTGGCAAACATTGCCGGTAAAGCAAATGCCAGAGGAGGGATGTTCTCAATGTGCCCAAAGGCAGCCCACATGGATACCACAGCATACGGACTCCACGCCGCAAAGAAACCGATGCAGACAGCAACACTTAACTGGTAAGAAATAGATCACAGAAGAGAAAACAGTGTATTTGATTGAAGAATCATGATCATTGTTTGTTTTTGCACTATTGCACTAACATACAAAACAATCACAAGGCATGTCCTTTAAAGGCACAAGGTGAACCTGAAATATTTATTGACTTGCATCAGTCAAAGGCCACATAGGCATTTTAATCCATAGCTGTTTAAATTAAAGTTATTCTTATGGAGAGAGGTGTATAATGATGACCATCGATCATCAAAAGCAGCGTTAGCTTCTTATCCATCAAATCAAATAAAAATGTATTATAGCCCCAAATCCCAAGAAAAGCCTCAAAGGGCTATACAAAGCAAACAAAATACAAACGTCATAGCATAACAATTATAAAAACTAGGGGTGCACCGAATGGGAAATTCTTGGCCGAAACCGATACCGAAAATAGGAAACAGTTGGCCGAAAACCGAATGCCGAAAGGCCGAAAATGATTAATAGAAATATATATATATATATATAATGTATACATTTTTTACCAATGTTGTTCAGCTACCTGATTATGGAAATAGACATGATTATGGCAAAACTTAACTTAAATAATAATCACTATTATGGGTCCATAAAACATTTATTCAGCACTTTTGAATGCATACAGTACATTTATATATGTCATGTATTATTGCTAAAAAACATTATATCGCAGTCAGGGGCGGATCTAGACAAATATTCATGGGGTGGCAAGAGGGTGGCAGGAGATTTTGAGGGGTGGCATCCCCTGACAGAAGTATATGCTGATTGAAATCGCAATCATATCAATCAATTAGGGGTGTAACGGTACACGTACCCGTACTGAAATTATTCGGTACGGGCCCTTCGGTTCAGTACACGTGTGTACCGAACGAATATAGCGTTAAACGTAAACAATTGAGAACAACTTTCTGGAAGTAATCTCAGGTATATATCATAGAGCGACCAAGTCATTTCATTGGACGAGAGGCATACTATGAGAGCTGGTCACAGGGATGTGTTCAAATGTATTCAGTAATTTGAGGAAATAGCGAACGCAGATAAAGTTGAGCTGAAAATCCTCCAGCATCATTGAAGTCTCCGTTTTGGGAACATTTTGGTTTCGCAGTTACGTACAAGGATGACGGACAAATACAGGTGGACCGAACCAAAGCTGTTTGTCGACATTGTTCAACTAACATTGGTTACGCGGCTGGCAATACATCACACTCATTTGAAAAGGCATCACCCGAATGTGAATATCACCGGTACCAAAAGAAAAAAGACTGAAGTGCAAACCCAACTCCCACTAGCATGTAAGCCTCCACCACTCGCAACAAGTTCAGACCAAGCCAAAGCTATTAC